ATGTTTATATTTATATTTATACTATCGTACGATATGTTCAATCATTTATATATGAAAGTATGCATGCCTGCTATTGGTCGGCAACGTTGTGAAGCAATTTTTGGATGCTGTTTAATTTATCACGATTAGTAGAAAACACGTAGGGGAAGGCATAAGCAGATCGGACGACAGGGGAATGCGCGTCAAGAAGCTGGGCGATCGTGGACGTTACTCAATTTAAATATGTGTTTTTGTATTCTAAAAGGAGCCATGGTTTTGTTTTTTGTTTTATTTTATTTAAAAAAAATTGTATAAAACTAAAAACATATAGTAGTAGGACATAAACGCGCTATATTCAAAACTCCTAAATGGGTACGCGTTTTATAATGTTATGAACCAGTGATACTTTGATCATTGATAACAAATCAACCATCCTACAAATCAAATACATAGCAAGAGCTGTCCAATTGTATGCGGGATTCGCTCGTAAATGACGTTTTTAGCCAATGAAGCCCCTTCTGGGCTTCTCGTAAAGCCCTTGAAGCGGGTGTGCCACTTGGGCTGAACATTACAACATAAAATAGATATTCGATCATTTAATATTTAAAAATATGTCATCAACAAAACCAGTTCATAATCCCTCAAATGAGATACCTACACAAACCGTTATTTAACTCACGATGTACCTAAATATTATTAGACCAATAGACGTTAAGTCTACCTTAAAGTCTGACTTAGGGCCTGACAAATTTAACCCAATGAAAACTCCATACGGAGTACCTGGCATGCTGCAAGCTATCAGTTGGTCTTCAACAAGAATTCAAGATTGAGCGCCAAAGTTCACTCAATTGTTATCCTGAATGATACCAATATAGCCAGTTGAAAGTATCTTTTTATTTACTACCTCTCAGTGGTCGCGAAAAGCACAGAAGCAAGTCGACTTCTAAAGTTCTAAGGTTCTCCAAACTTTTCCTCTCAAACGAGAAGTGCTCATCATTGTTGAATATAATATGATTTCATTGATTTTTTTTTACTGCAAATCAAATGTGTTCTACACAGATTTAAAACGAGATTTGGGTTGGTTGTGCCCTTCGCGCTTTGTGAGGAAAGTTGTATCGTATGCATCTACGTAGGCTACGGACTCTACTCTCTCTCTTGAGAGTAGAGTGTAGACTTAGAGAGTGGCTTCCGTCCTACAGGCTCCATATGAGGCCGACCCAGATTGCCGTCAAAGCCAGCTTCATGCCAGGTGCCCCCCATGTCCCTGTCCCGTTTCTTGAGAGTTGCGGACTTGAAAAGAGTAAACGACAACACCAGTATTTATCAACTTATTACAACGGTAATACTTTCGTATTGATCTAAAACAAACAAAACATTTTCGCGCCTTTTCTGCAATATCGCGTTCTAATAATAGACAATTAGAAAAATCGCATGTCTGTATGTAGCATCCCTAAATACCCGTCTTCAATCGGGGACATAACTTGATTTATCGATAAGAGTGTAGAAAATGTAATGCAAGCAAAACACTTCATACGTACGACTTGTGGCTGAATCGTTCAAAGCGGTGGCGATCTGTGCTCCAGCACACACTTACTATCTCGTAGTCAGTACACACGCTTACACTATAGAGGATTACACGATACACGGAATTAGCAGCTAACAGTGATGGTGAATATGACGAACACCACTAGCGCTTACGACCCGCAGTTTGTTGGTCTGCAATTTGCCAAACAATACTATACGATGCTAAGCAAGATGCCCGAACAAATACATCTTTTTTATAAACCCGCTTCTGTCTTTGTCCATGGCGAAGAAGAGGGCGTGTCATTGAATGTAGCCGCTGGTCAGGGGGAGGAGGTATGTTTATATAATTTGTTTCATACTGTTCAGTTAGTCGAAAGGTTTGACATGTTAGCAGCAGTATTTATTTAATGTTCACTTCGTTAGTACGTTTTTCAATCGATCGTTACCGATGTACGTTGTTTTTTTGTCTAGTTTTAGTAGTAGATAAATTATATACTTATGGTGAAATTGGGGACCCTTATTGACACTCGTACAGTCAAACAATCCCATTAAGGCGCCGATATAGAGTCTGATTCAAAGGACGAATGGCGTGTGCTGTTGGCTGAAATTGGGGACTGGGAAGATGTTTACTAAGGCTGAATTATGAATGTGATTTTGTGTCAAACTCACAGTCAAATCATATCTGGCCACTCATAATAGTTCATTCGGCAGAATTCGCATGCTGCATGCTGCTTGTTGCATGTTGCTTGTTGCGTGTTGCATGATGCACGCTTCACGCTGCACGCTACATGCTGCACACTGCATGCTGTATGCTGCATGCTGCACTTGTAAAGTAGAATTTGTGATTTAGGACACTTCCATCAGATGCCCAGCGCCAGTGCGGGATAGTCGATATTCGGGCTCTATCACTTATTACGATAAGTCGTGTGGTACACGGTGCTCTATTATACAGCAATTCAAACTAGCTCTGTAAATGGTGTAGTGTGTTACCCATAGCCCTGACACTCGATAATCATGGGCCCAAAGCCTTGTAGTCCGGAGCACTAGCATATAATTGTACACGGCAAACGAGCGTTGACTGATAGTTCACACCCCATAGATGAGATACCAGTGGTTGCCATTTCCTATGGAAGTCAGTACGCTGTCGCAGATAGCGGGTTCTGCTGTTCATACTTCGCAAGCGAGTGGATATATTCACCTACTAGCTAATTTTGTATTATATTGGTTGTTCATCTACCGGTGCTAGTTTTAATGTACTGTCACATCATCTCCACCGATCTTACTACTGTTACTAGCCTAACATTTGTAAAATTACAATATAAGTCGACATCGGGAATCCTGCTTTCCCACCCCGACTTGCTCAATTCGGAAGTGACTTTGAACTCAAACAAATGTGTACATATTAAACATTCGAGCGTGTTGGGGTATTTTAGACGTCGCAAGGTATATATACAGTATCCACCCGCCCAACTGGGAGGTGTTGTTGGCACAAAACACCACGCCAGAAAATATCTAACCAGCACATTTAATTGCTGAACACTCAATCAAAAGAGATTGATTCATTTCGAGTGTGCACCGACTTAAATTATTGGTCTTCAAAGGCTCTTTATGTATAGATGCAGCAGGCGCACGCAAGTGTTTTGGAGACGCAGGCTCCTATTTTTTGTGGGTAATTCACGCAATACCCTCATTGCAGTTAAAACTATTGGTCTATTTTCCTTCTACAGGCGTTCAACAAATACATAGAATCTCTGAAGATAGAGTCATGCAGTACATCAATCACGCGTATAGATGCTCAGTCCCTACCTGCTGGTTCCATCCTTGTGATGGTGACTGGGCGTATGGCCCGCAATGGGGATGACGCACGTCTATTCGTGCAAACGTTCGTTTTGGCACCGCAGGATCGAGGCTTCTACGTACACAACGACATTTTCCGCTTCTTGCGAGCCCAAGAGGTTGTCTGTCAGAAAATGGAAGTTGAGAACGAAAACCAAGGCGAAAAAGGGGTACAACACGGCTCGCGAGACATTGTGAGTGCTCAACTCAATGGAGCACACCCAGATCCCGAGAACCCGAGTTCCAAGGTAGATGCGATTAAGCTAGCTAACCAGACCGTGGTGGATGTTGCTGCGGCACCTGCCATAGATAAACCAATCATCCCCGAGTCCTCCTCTCATGCCTCACAAGAAGCCACCATGGACAGTGAGGACCTGCTACGCGAGACTGATGCGAGTGAAGTTATTACACCTGATCAAGCACCTGTTGCTGGTGTGAAAGAAGTGTGCTCGTCCGATTCTACTGCAAATGCGGGTGGACAGGCCCCGTCTGAACAGTCAACATCTGCGGACGGGGACGCTAACATTATCTCAGAAAAAAATGCTAACCACACCGAAAAGAAGGAGAAGCGTGCTTCTACACCTACAGGCGTTAAAAGCTCATCAACCACGCCTGGTTCGTCAGCGCAAACAGGTAAAGGTAGTGGTAGCGTACATAATAAGAGCGGTCAAAAAACCAAGGGGGGAAATAAGCTGCAGACTGCAACTGCCAACACACACGCAAACAAACCTATACCATCTTCCATCACTCAGAGTGGTATCCATGATCAAGTTTCGGCGCCCGGTTCTACGGTAACGAGTGTCACAGCGCAAAGCAAAACCCCTACGGTAGTAGTCGCTTCCAAGCCTGCCGTGCCGGAGGCACCTAAAACTTTTGCACAGATGGCTCAACTGGCTGCACAGAAAAAACAATCTGCCGAGCAGCATCCACGAGTAGCGCAGCAGAGTCAAGCAAAGGTTGGGAACGGAGGTACAGTTGGTAACGGCGGGTCGGGCAAGAGCCACAACAGTAGTAACAGTACTCAGCATCAGCACCACAATCAACATGCTCAGCGAAAGCAATCTGATGGACAGGCACGCGGTAATGTAAGCCATGATCGAAATAACAGCAATGGGAGACAAAATAACAGCAGAAACGGTGAGAAGTCAAACACCAGCGGACCCAATGGTAACAATCATGGCAACAGAAACAACAAAGCTGTAAGATCCAACGGGATCTTTATCTCTGGTGTGCCTATATCTGTTTCCGATGATATGATCAGAACAACTTTCGCCATAATTCCTACGCATATGCGAGTTGAGAAGTGTGAGCGAAATTTGGAGAAGGTATGTATGTATATGCCTGGAATGCCTGCATGTCTATGGTATGCGTATACGACAATTGACAGAATACCCATAGCGGAACACAAGCATACGGAAATGCATACCGACATGCGTAAATATATGTGACTACGTATGTGACAGTTGTGTATCAGACGATTTAATTGTCTTTTGGTGTCGCTTTATTTGCATATTTTGCAAGTTATGTGACGATCATATAAATTCAGTCAATTTAATCTATCGATGTCGATTTGTCTTATATGGTAAGCACAACATAGACAAACAATTAGTTAAACTACACATTTATATTACAGGCATGGATACCAATCTGACCAATTTACGTATATATATATATATATACTTTGAAGTATATGAGATTTCTATATATATATATATGTATACATATATGTATGCCTAGGTCTAGCTCATGCTAATGACTAACAATGCCGATGTCTATCCCTTCATATGTCTTTATATCTATATATTTATATATTTATATATATATATATATTATAAAATTACACAATATTATTCATATATGTATATAGATGTACATGTATATAGAAAATATATATGTATGTATATATATACATATATATATATATATTATACTTATACTTATATATCACATTAAGTATATTTGTGTATTTGCACGCATATAACGTACGTACGGACGTTACATATATATATTATATATATACATACACACATACACACACACACACACATATATATATATATATTACTAAAACCCTATATATATACGTACATGTATGTATTCATATACATATGTACATACACATACACAAAAACGCACATATTATATATATATATATGTGTGTGTATATGTATATGAATGCATACATGTATGTATGCTACATTGCATATATATATATATATTGCATCCATATACGTAGGTACACGCACACACACACATATATATTGACCGTCTCTGATATATATATATATATATATGTTTATTTATATGTCTATGTATAAATACATACGTATGTATGTATGTTTATATGTATTCATTTCTACAAGTATAGATTTATATCTGTCGGTAGTATACACACGCACATACACGCATATGTATTTATGTATAGATATATATATGCCTGTGTATATATGTGCGTGTGTGTGCATGCGTGTATGTTTTGGCATACATATGGTTCTACTTACTTGTACATACAATCAAGCATAAATGTATTCATTCAGACACACACACGCACACACACACACACACATATATATATATATATATATAACTCACACTGAACAGACTTGTGATGACTAACATCTGTGTTTGTTACTTTGTTCCTGAACAGAGGATTGCATTCGTTTACTTCAATAACCCTGAGGCCGTGAAGTGGGTGCTCAGCAATGGCCCCTGGAAGATTGATGGTAATAATGTGTTAATTGACGAACGTAAGGAGAAGGCCAGACGGTAATTGGAAGATATATGTCTGATATCACAGATCCCGCGGCTGTACTACTCCTTGACTATGCTCTTGTGCGCGCGTCAAAACTACAGCACTTTAAGAGGTTATAGCTCCTATGAGATTTGAATGATAGCTGCGCGTTTGATTTCAATCGTTTGTGCGAATGGCTATTGGCTTGCTGGGTTAGGGCAACTACTCCTCAACCTCCGTGTGATCTTACCAGGCAGAAAAATCCAAACAAGAATGAATGACCACGAAGCGTGTGGTGCGACCTGGTAATCGTAATATTAGCATGCGTAGAGGGTGGATTGTGCACGTAACGTTACGTAGAATTCGATTGCGAGGTTGCCTGGCTTCTTTACTCAAACTTTAGCAGCAGACCAGTTGATTGGGTTGATGCTTCGGATTGAATTTGAGTACAACCATGTAGGTGCTTTCGGACTCGAGAGACATTTGGCATTTTGATGTTAACTCGTTGCGCAGAGTTGTGACGAGAAATTTCCTACGGAAACGAGTGGAACCCCGTCGAACATGTTTCGTTCGCTATTAGGCACAGGATACTTAGCATATAGGTATATGTGAAAACCACGTTACTCTTAGTGCTTTCTGTGTCATGGTATAAACGCAGGCAACGCGCAAGTCTGCAATATTTAGAAAGCAAGCGGATGTCATGCAGTTTTTCACTTAGTATTCAAAACTTATTACAATTTTTGGGTCGTGTCCTGTATTTATTGAAACTTCAAACCCCTATCATACTAGACCGCTGCGCCTGATACACACTTCGTCCGTCTGTTCTGCACGTGCTAAACACTCGCAAGGGTCAGAGGTCGAAAGGTTCTTATACTTTGTGAGCTAATCAAGCAGATGTAGATTCCCTCAACTGCGTGCATAATCCGAGGAGTGTCAAGTACATAATTTTGACGATTATACACCTTACAATACGGCATATTCGCGCTGAAAACCATCCGTCGGCCTCACAGACTCGTAGACGAATTTCTGTCGCTCACCACCAAAAAAACCCCGATCAATATGCAAAGGCGTCAGGGCACCGGGCAGTTTGATAGAAACGACGTGCGCAACCGCGTCGTTATGTTGTTCATTAAGAAACATCGCCGACATATGTATTCTTGGTACACTACACACTCAAAATGTGACGTGCTTATGAACGACGAAGTTCGAGGTGTAATTTGACAATTTGCTTCTATATTCAAGCCAAATTCTGGGCTCAAAGCTCGGGTAGTTCGTCTTCAGTCACTATTTTGATAGACCAACCGTAGTTCGAAGGTTTCAGCACAATAACAGAATGCTGCGGTGCTTCTATCATGGGTGCTTTCTCCATAGCTATATTCTGGAAATAGGCCAATAGAGATTGAATGGTACTGAGATGGCTGACTACTAATACGGGATTGAACGTGTGCTCTATTTGCAGGACAACATCCACCAAACGTTGATTCAAGTCATACAAAGATTCCCCTCCTGGAAATCTGTAGCGAAAAGGATCAATTTTCCACAAGTTGAATTCCGCTGGATACTCCCTCCTAATACTGCTGACCTTCAACCCGTGCATTATTCCCGTGTTCAACACACTTAAGGCTGACCATTCCTCTATTCTGTCTTCATCATATTCCATCAACGGCATGGCAGTGGCCACAGCTCTGGGAAGAGTGCTCGTGTATGTGTCGATCTCCGCTTCAGCACCCTGTTCCTGACGAATGAATTTGGCCACTCGCTGCGCGAAGCGATTGCCACTATCACTCAATTCCGCACTTGCTGTTGCCATAGACGGCATGTAGACCTCGTCCATACGTGTTGAAAAGCATCGCAACAATTGGGAGCCTGTTTTAGTAGCATCCGCAGTTTTCATGCTACTTTCAGGTGCAGTCGACTTATCTAGAGCTACTGCGTTGACTTGTTGGGCTATAACCTTGCTCCCTTCTGCATATGGGCCTCTAGCTCGACCAAGTATTTCATCCTGGCAGCCCAAAACAGCCTTCACTTGTTTTCGCAGTCCTGACATATCAACTATTCCATCGCAATGCCCGGCGCGACACAAATAGACCGGGCGTGTGTAAACATTGCACGACATCAATAGTTGTACCACACGTAAAGGGGTTTTACCAAATACGTTGCTGCAAACAACCTTTGCATTGAGATTTATAACCTTAACATATGATAGCTTCTCCGAATCGTCTACCTCCTCATACACACTTTCGTAACGCTTAATGCGTTCGCGTAAATCACGCAGTGCGTCCTCTTCAGCCATATTTTGAAAATCGGGAGACCCGCGAATTTTTTGCCTCAAATTGACATCCAAGACCTCTGGGTCGTCGCAAATACTCTCTAAACAAATAAACGTCACCTTCACACTTGTTTTCTCGAACTCCTTGATCTTCTCGTAGATCATTCTCCTACGTTCCCTTGTAGTATTTGTGGCATCAAAAACCGCTACGCGCTCGCCTTCTTCCTCCAAGAACTGCAGAGCATCATCCAATGTTGCCATTGCAATGTGATCGCGCTGGGATAAATTTGACGAATTTCTCGTATCAAAGAAATCAGCTCGACCACTCTTGTCAGCACCCAGCCGCTTTCTGCGATACGATCCGGCGTTAAAGATCTCGCAAGGTATGCCAGTCCAGTTTAAGTAGGACGAGATTTTGTTAGAGATAAAACTCTTCCCGCGCGCTGGAAGACCCACCATGGCGAAAAGGACTTTAGTTTGATGATGCTTTCTCCGAGGTGCGCTAAAAGTTAGCTCGGCCAGCTCGTTACGAGATGCCATTTCGAATTTGAAAGTGGCTGTAATTTTTGGAATGTAAACAAAGTGCAGTCTTAGTCAATGAACAGCATGGTTTCATAATTTATACAATAGAGATTTCAATCATTTCATGTTCTATTTTCGAAGACTGTGGATTTCAATAATAAAAATTACCCCCAAATACATCAAAAGTCTTGGGATCAAGCCACATATAACAAGAAATATTGTCAATACCGGACCTAATAAATGTCATAGCCTTCTATATTAGACATAAATACAAACAATAATATTTATGCTTTATTTTTACAATATTTATGTATTTTATGTACAATAAAAAATAGCTTGTGAACAAGTCCCTGCAGAGCGGAGTGAGCTGAGATCGGTAGCAAATTAAGTTGTCGGTATTTAATTCTGTGTACATTTTAGTACCGAACTATATATGACCGGCAATCTAAAATATTAGGATATTCATCAATTTTCCGACACAAACCTAGTTTACCTCTTTGCTACAAGAACCCCCAACTCCCGGTTTTTTCTTCCCCTCTTGGTTTACAAGAAACCTGTCGGATTTACGTCATGTACCCGCATGGTCAACTCTGAACCGACCAAATGACCAAGAACTTCATTATAAGTCTTCACTAGAATCAACAATAAAGTTCAGTCCTTGAGAAATCGGTACATAAGTCTCTCTAGGTTATGGGCCTATTTTATAGAAAACTGACATTATGTTATCCAGAACTCAACTCACCATCAAGGGCGCTACGGTGTCCTGGACTGTCCTTGACCAGGATGGCTCAAACATTGGTCTCTGGAAAAGCGACATGGAGCTCGCTATGTCTTCCCAGTGCACTGATGATCTTACTTCTGTTCTTGAATATAAGCAAAAATTCCCCAAGGATCCCTGCAACCCACTGTAAACTTACGCACAGATTCTCGCTACATCACTTCCGGATCGCATCGACTACCAGAACTACATGGTTGACCTCCAGATGTACATCGAACGTGTCATAGAAAATGGTACCTACCATAAGGCCAAAACACTCGTCCTCAGTTCAATGCACCCTCAACTCCGTGTAAGCTTGACGCGCATCATCAAACGAAAACAGCCTTGGAACTTAGATTCTATTCTTCAATCTAAATTTGAACACTAATCTCGACTAATTTACTGTATCGTTGACACAGCTTATCTTTCTGCCCTCACTCGTGGTCCTACGGAATCTCTTCGTCAATGGGCCACGCGATGCAAATACGCCCTGTGAAACTGCATTTGAACAAGGTACTACACTCGGCCCAGTTGAAATTGTTCATTATCCAACTTAAACAGGCAGACCGTGTGTGTGAAACTGCATTTGAACAAGGTACCACACTCAGCCCAGATGAACTTGTTCATTAACCAACTTAGACGGATATTTAGGACCGAATCTGAGAGAGGAATTTAGAACTGGATCAGAGGACCGGACCTAGAGGAATACTTGAGTATCGGACCAGAGGACCAGACCTAGGGTAATATTGAGGCCTGGACCAGAGGACCAGATCGACTAGTGGAATGGTGAATTTAATGAATGAAAAGTGATGACTCATGTGAAACCATAGAGATGGGTATTTTCACATAACCCGATGGTAGAAAAAGTCTCGTTCCGTGATTGATAAATATAGCAGATGCGCCATTCCCCATGTCACTTCTGACTGAGTTCACTGATTACAGACTTAACACTCTTTATTAAGTGTTACTTGGTTTTGACCACAACCGGGATCAAATCACAGTCCCACAACACTCGCAACAGTTTCGATACCGACATCCTTTGTA